CTAGCAAATCTCCCTTTGAAGACAACAATCAAATCCTGTTAACATGCAAGTTTATTAAGGACCCATAAAAGAAGATAGACAAGGTGATAATGATACAAGATCTAGGAAAATGTGTGTTCTGAAGTTGATGCTGAGAAACGTATTTGAAGCACTATGAAACTATGGACGTACCCTATGATCTAGTGAGCAGGACAAAATACCCAATGAAGACACGTTACCTTGTTCAACACAAAAATGGATAATTAAAAGTAAAGTTTTTGAATAGTAGAAGAAAAAACAAGTCCCTACACACGGGGAGACTAAAACAAGTGTCACAACAACCTGGGAATGAACTCTAATGGGTGAAGTCCTTAAAAGGGACACTGCCTCTGTCATTTGTTTCACTTGGTCCAAAATAATGGGATCACTTAGAGTTATAGAGCTGTACAGTTTGGAAACAGACTCTTTGGTCCAACTCGTCCATGCCAACCAGATATCCTAAATATAATGAGTCCCATTTGCCAACATTTGGCCCATATCCCTCTAAACCTTTACTATTCATACACCCATCCAGATGCCTTTTAAAATGTTGTAATTGTACAGCCTGCACCACTTCCTCTGACAGCTTGTTCCATACCTGCACCACCCTCTGTGTGAAAAAGTTGCTCCTTAGGTCCCTTTTAAATCTTTCCCTCTCTCCTTAAACCTATGTCCTCTACTTTTGGACTCGCCCCACCCTGGGGAAAAGACCTTGTCTATTCACCATATCCGTGACTCTCATGATTTCATAAACCTCTAAGTTCACGTCTCAGTCTCCGAACCCCAGGGAAAATAGCGCCACCCTATTCAGCCTCTCCCTATAGCTCAAACCCTCCAACCCTGGCAACATCCTTGTAAATCTTTTCTGAACACTTCCAAATTCCACAACATCCTTCCTATAGCAGGGAGACCAGAATTGAACACAGTATTCCAAAAGTGGCCTAACTAATGCGCTATACAGCCACAACATGACCTCCCAACTCCCATACTCAATGCACTGACCAATAAAAGCTAGCCTACCAAATGCCTTCTTCACTATCCTGTCTACCTGCGACTCCACTTTCAAGGAAATATGAACCTGCACTCCAACGTTTCTTTGTTCAGCAACACTTCTCAAGACTTTACTATTAAGTGTATAAGTCCTGCCCCGATTTGCCTTTCCAAAAGGTAGCACCTCACATTTATCTCAATTAAACTTCATATGCCATCCCTTGGCCCATTGGGCCATCTGATCAAGATCCTGTTATACCCTGAGGTAACCCTCTTTGCTGTCCACTACACCTTGAATTTTAGTGTCATCTGCAAACTTACTAATCATACCTCCTATGTTCACATCCAAATCATTTCTATAAATGATCCAGCACCGATCCTTGTGGCACACTACTGGTCACAGGCCTCCAGTCTGAAAAGCAACCCTCCATCACTATCCTCTGTCATCCGAAAACAACAAATGCTGGAGATCACAGCAGGTCAGACAGCATCTGCTGTAATTTGCTCCTATATCCTCTGTCTTCTACTTTTGAGCCAGTTCTGTATCCAAGTGACTAGTTCTTTATGTCTTCCATGTGATCTAACCTTGCTAACCGATCTACCATGAGGAACCTTGTCAAACGCCTTACTGAAGTCCAATTAGATCATGTCCACTGCTATGCCCTCATCAATCCTCTTTGTTACTTCTTCAAAAAACTCAGTTGTTAGTGAGACATGATTTCCCATGCACAAAGCCATGTTGACTATTCCTAATGAGTCCTTGCCTTTCCAAATACATATAAATCCTGTCTCTCAGGATTCCCTCCAACAACTTGCCAACCGCTGATGTCAGGCTCACTGGCTTATAGTTCCCTGGCTTTTCCTTACCACCTTTCTTAAATAGTGGCACCACATCAGCAAACATCCAGTCTTTTGGCACATCACTTATGGCTATCGACGATACAGATCTCTCAGCAAGGTGCCCAGCAATCACTTCCCTAGCTTCCCACAGAGTTCTATGGTACACCTGATCAGATCCGGGATTTATCCACCTTTATGCGTTTTAAGATGTCCAGAACCCCCTCTTCTGAATGTGGACATCTTTCAAGACGTTGCTGTTTATTTCCCCATGTTCTCTATCTTCCATATATTTGTCCACAGTAAACACTGATGCAAAATACTTATTTAGTATTTCCTCCATCTCCTGTGGTTCCAGACATAGATGGCCTTGCTGTCTTTAAGGGGCCCTATTTTTTCCCTGTTACTCTTTTGTCCTTAATGTATTTGTAGAATCGCTTTGAATTCTCCTTAACCATATTTGCCAAAGCTATCTTATATCCCCTTTTTTGCCCTCCTGGTTTCCTACTGCCTTTATACTCATCTAGAGATTCATTTGATCTCTGCTGTATATACCTGACATATGCTTCCTTCTTATTCGTAACCAAAACCTCAATTTCTCTAGTTATCCAGCCTTCCCCACACCTACCAGCCTTGCCCTTCACTCTAACAGGAAAATACTGTCTCTGGACTCTCGTTATCTCATTTTTGAATGCTTCCCATTTTCCAGCCATCCCTGTATCCGCGAACATCCACCCCGAATCAAATGTTGAAAAGTTCTTGCCTAATACCATCAAAATTGGCCCTCCTCCAACTTTGAACTTCAACTTGTAGATCTGATCTATCCTTTTCCATCACAATTTCAAAGTTAATAGAATTATGGTCACTGGTCCCAAAGTGCTCCCCCACTGACACCTCAGTCACTTGTCCTGCCTTATTTCCCAAGAGTAGGTCAAGTTTTACACCTTCTTTAGTTGGTACATCCACATACTGAATCAGAAAATTTTATTGTACACACTTAACAAATTCCTCTCCATCCAAGCCCTTAACATTATGGCAGTCCCAGTTTATGTTTGGAAAGTTAAATTCCCCTATCACAACTACCCTATTATTCTTACAGATAACTGAGATCTCATTACAAATTTGTTTCTCAATTTCCTGCTGCCTGTTGGTGGGTTTATAGTCCAATCCCAATAAAGTGACCATCCCTTTCTTATTTCTCAGTTCCACCCAAATAACTTCCCTGGACGTAACACCAGGAATACCCCTCCCTCAGTATAGCCATAATGCTATCCCTAATCAAAAACACCACTCCCCCTCCTCTCTCACCCCACTTTCTCTCCTTCCTATGGCATATATACCCTGGAACATTAAGCTGCCAGTCCTATCCATCCTTGAGCCATATCTCTATAATCACTATGATATCCCAATGCCATGTTCCAACCATGCCCTGAGTTCATCTGCCTCAACTGCTAGGCCTGTTGCATTGAAATAAATATCATAGAATACCTGAGACAACAAGGTGCAGGGCTGGATGAACACAGCAGGCCAAGCAGCATCATAGGAGCAGAGAGGCTGATGTGAAAACAGCCCCTTCAGTGCAACAAGTCCACACTGGCTCTCAGAGCATCCAACCCAGACCCATCCCCCTATATCCCACCTAATCTACACATCCCTCAATACTATGGGCAATTTTTCATGGCCAATCCACCTAACCTGCACATTTTTGGACTGTGGAAGGAAACCCACACAGACATGGGGAGAATGTACAAACTCCACACAGTCGCCCAAGGGTGGATCGAACCTGGGTCCCTGGCACTGTAAGGCAGAAGTGCTAAGCACTGAGCCACCGTGCCGCCCCTAAATGCAGTTTAATTGATCAGTCCTATCTCATTCTCTACTTTGTCCCTGCCTATCCTGTCTGCCTGACTTGCTCATGTTCCCAACTGCACCTGTCTCAGACTGATTGCTTTCCTCACTATCTCCCTGGGATCGCACTCCCCCTCCCCCCTCCTCCCCACTAGTTTAAATCCTCCTAAGCAGCTGTAGCAAATCTCCCCGCCAGTAACTTAGTCCCCTTTCAATTCAGGTGCAATCTGTCCTTCCTATACAGGTCACTTTTACCCCAGAAAAGATTCCAATGATCAAAAAATGTGTATTCTTCTCCCCTGCACCAGCTTGTCAGCCATGTGTTCATCTGCTCTATCCTTCTATTTCTACCCTCACTAGCTCGTGACACCAGGAGTAATTCAGATATTATTACCCTTGAGCACCTCCCATTTAAATTTCTGCCTAATTTCCTATATTCTCTCCTCAGAATCGCATCCTTTTCTCTTCCTATGTTGTTAGTTGCAATGTATGCAACCACCTCCTGCTGGTCCCTCTCCCATTTGAGAATATTCTGGATCATCTCTGGGATATCCTTGATCCAGGCACCAGGGAGGCAACACAACATTCTGATGTCTCACTGTCAGCCACAGAAGTATCTATCTGTGCCTCTGACTAGAGAGTCTCCTATCACATTCGATCGTTGATTTATCCCTCGTTACATTAGGGTCAGTCTTGGTACCAGAAATCTGGCTGTCAATGCTACATTCCCCTGAGAGTCTATCACCCCCTACCTTTTCCAAAACAGCACATTTGTTTGTAATGGGGATAGCCACAGGAGACTCCTGCACATCCTGCCTTATTTTCCTGCCTTTCCTGGAGATAACCCATCTACTTGACTGTATCTGCAGTTTTTCTCCCATCCTGCAACTGCCATCCATCACACACCAGGGTCCTGTAAATTCCTTATTGCCTCTAACTGCTGCTCCACCTGATCCATGCGATCCGATAGGATTTGCAACCAAACACACTTCCTGCAGACATAATCATCAGTAACATGAAAACTCTCTGTAATCTCCCACATTCAACAGGAAGAGCACATCACTCTACTAAAGGCCATCTTTGCACCTTAACAACCTACAGATACAGAAAAGAGCTCAGTCTTACTGCTCTAAAAACACTGCTTTGGGCTAACTTAGTACTTATGTTTTGTATTTTTAAAGTTTAATCAAGAGACAGATCTCAATAAACTTCTGAATTGCCGGTATGAAACGGAGGCCAAAACTTAATTGCAAAAATATGGAATATAACAAATGTAAGAAACAGTAAAAAGTGGATGAATGATGCAGTTGTCTTTCTCTAGAAGCATGTGCAGCTATTCGTTTACTTTAATGAATATTTAACTTGTATAAACTTTTCTTAAACAACAAAGCAGCATTTTTGAATTCATAATCATTGATCAAAAGACTGCATAGATCAAACAATCCCTTTCATGCATTCAAGGGATGTGGCTGTCACTGGTGCCTAATTGCCCTGGAGAAGGTGGTGGTCAACTGCCTTCTTTAAGTGCTACAATCCTTTGGGTGTTGACACACACACAATGCTGCCAGAAAGGAAATTCCAGGAATTTGACTCTGCAACAGTGAAGGAATGGTGATAGATTCCCAAATCAGGAAGGTGTGTGACTTATAGGGGAACTTGCAGATAGTGGTGTTCCCATGCATTGCTTGTCCTTGTCTTTCTTCATGGCAGAGGTCACATATTAGGAAGGCGCTTTGGTGAATTACTAGAGTGCATCTTGTGGGTAGTGTATATTGCTTCTACTGTGCAATAGCAATGAAAGGAGTGAATGTTCAAGGTGGTGGAGACAGTGCAAATCAAGCTGGCTGCTTTGTCTTGAATGATGCAAGCCTCATGAAATCAATAATGACTGGGAGCTTTGTGATATAACTACCAATAAGATGATTAGTACTTGAGAGTTTACATTGTAGTGGTAAAATATATTGAATCAATACCGTGAAATCTATTTACTTACCATTAATCAGTCATAGTCTTTGCCAAATTATACTACGTTCAACATGCAAAGTTGGAATACTTTCCTGTTCTAGCTTGTTTTGTTATTTCAAAGACTACATTGATGCCAGTTGTACAAATGAAGAATCATTGATAAGCTCATGATAATTCAGAATTAGTGTTAGAATTAGATTTATCGTCACATGTACTCACATGAGTGCAGTGAAAAGTTTACAAAGTTGCTACTTATGGCACCATCTTAGGTTAAAAAGGTACCTAGGTACAGGATCTCAGGAATAAATTAGGAAAATAAAGAAATAAAAGTTCAGCATTATAGTCCACCTTAGCTACAAGATACGTAGGTACAATATCTTAAGAATAAATTAGAAAAGTAAAGAAAAAAATTAAACATTCAGCATTACAATCATTCAATGCTGGGCCTTGCCTCCAGACCATGCCAGGACCTTTCATCCAGAACTCATCAAGTCCTCACTATGGGCCTACTGCAGCCCAGCTCTGGACACCAAGCTCCACCATTGATGGCCCACTGAGTTCCCAAGTCTGGGCTTTGAGCCTACCGAAACCAGGAGCCCTTGATCCTGCTACTGCTGCTGCCGACAACTGTCCAACACTTCTCCATGACATCAGAAGATGAAAGAGAAAGGAAAAGACAGAAAAGAGACAGAGAGAGAGAGACAGAGAGAAAGAAAGGGAGAGAGAAGGATGCGGCCAGCCTGGAGCATGCAGACTCAGGAGCCCTAACACTCCCTGCCATGTGGCACTGCCATCTTGCAGTTGAAGAATTCAAGATGGTAGTCTGCCTTGAGGCAAAGAAGTGTAGTCCAGAGAAAACAGAAAAAAGAACTCTGTTTTCACACTTGCAAGAGAAATGGGAACATGATGCCTGAAAGGGGCTCAGATAGGACAGACTTCCTCATACACATCACCACCACATTAGAAGCAGCCATGGTGACCACAAAAGCTGCTGGCCACATGCCAGATGGAGAAGGTGAGATGGCCATCCCTGCTGGATAGGGTGAACAACATTCATGGATGTGTTGCACTTCAGTCTGATTGACAATATGTATTGGGAAGCCATAGTACTGCAAAGGCTTCTGCTGTGTAAGGTATATTCACGGGATCTCTTCTAAAGTCTTCCACTGATACTAACATTAACGCACTAAAGACAGCTCCTATACCATCAAACAGACTTAAAGGATTCAGAAGTCACAGAAAAGGAGGCTATATTTAGAACAACAGCAACAGATGTGCTTCTGCATGTCAGAGATCCCAAAGATAGTCTAGGATCATAGATTGTTTGCAAGAGTCTGTTCAGCTTATGTGTCACTGTGGCTCAGGATTTTGAATGCATTGACTTTTCCACTGAGATAGAATGGCAAACCTCTTGGACAGCTACACGTGACAGGACAGGACTGCATGCAGGACTGTGCATTGATATTCATAGGATGGCCACCACACAACTTACTGGACAATAGTGTTGATGGTGTAGAGATGTTTGGAGGGGATGATAACCGTGTTCTAACTGGTTTCTCCTGCAGCTATCTGGAGTACATGCTATGATCTGAGGCACTCACTGGGGCAGATGGGGATGCCACCCCTCACAGGGCTTCATCATTATTAGCAGCCTCCTTGGTTCCTCCAACTAAATAAGTATCGAGACACTGAAGCTCAATGATGGATTCCGTGCAATGATGGCCTTTTGAGATGCAATATGAGAATGACTGTTATTGCTATCTCAGCCAAAGCAGTTCAGTGACTAGTTTGACTCCACTTCATCTGAGGACACAGAGAAGACAGCACATTGGACAGTGGACTGAGTCGGTCTATGAGGGTGTTTGAGTTTAGGCAACATTCCATTTTTCATTCTTTCACGGACTGTCCGCTTATGTACTTGCATATCTTTGCAGGAGCAAATTACTGCAGATGCTGGAATTTGTACTGAACACAAAAATGCTGGAGATCACAAGGGGTCAGGCAGCATCCATGGAGAGAAAGCAAACTAACATTTCGAGTCTAGCTTCACTCTGATGAAGAGTCATCTAGGCTCCACATTTTTGAAATTTTGTTTTTCAACCTTGAATACGTCTTTTCTATCAAACATCTAAGTGAACAATATGAGTGCCAAGGAATTATGACAGAGAACTCTTACTGTGTCCACTAGCTGTGATTTGCATTGTATGCTTTTATGTGGGGTCTGTCTTTGAAAGGTATGTTGTATATGTACTTTGACCAAATTGACATGCAAGTTTGTAATAAAAAACATTTTACTTCCTTTTTTTAAAAATTATAAATTTCTCTATATTTTATATTTTGCATTATTCTATGTGCATATTTGTGTTTAGTTTCTATTAGAAATCAAAATCAGTATCAGACACTTGTAAAACTTGCTGCTAATTATATTGGCAGCCAGTTGGAATCATAGAACCACTTTAGTACAGAAATAGGCCACTTGGTACATCAGGTCTGCATCCCACCCAGAACTTCCCCCAACCCTATCACTGTAACCCCCACATTTATCATGGCTAATCCACATAGCCTGCACATCCCTAGACAATACGAGCAATTTAGCATGGCCAATCCACCTAACCTGCACATCTTTGAACTGTCGGAGGAAACCAGGGCACCCGGCGGAAACCCACTCAGACATGGAGAGCACGTGCAAACTCTGCACAGACAGACACACAAGGCTGGAATTGAAGCCGGGTCTCTGGCACTGTGAGGCAGCAATGCTAACCACTGAGCCACAATGCCACCTGTATTTGTAACAGCAAATATTAAATTTGTAATTTGATCAGAGTTGTCAATCAATAGCAACTCCAACTAATTATTTGGCCAAATCTCTAGAGCATATTAGACCAAACATTCAGGATGTTGGTAAAGACTCTGAGGAATTCCTGATGTGTGGGTCCATGTGGGAAGTGCCTGAGAAGTTTAAACTTCCAATCAATAGTTCCTCTGCTCCCCTGGACCATCTGTGATTGTCAATGACTTTTGGAGTTAGAGTTGGAGAGCCCAGACAGTCCTGCAGTACTTTCATGTATTACGTACCCAGGAAAATGTTGGATGAAAACCTATTCTTACACCTAGTAACTCCACAACTGACCCTACCACCCAATTACTCCCCTGACACCGCAACTAACACCCAACCCCCACCCCCACTCCCCGCCCCCCCAAAATCAAATGTGCATCTTACATGAATATATCACTGTTTTCCTCTAATGATTCTCTTGTTCACTTTAAACCAAAGAATACATAGTACATAAAAAACTGAAATAACTGCGGATGTTGGAAATTAAAAACAAACAAAAATTCCTGGTAAAACTCAATAGCTCTGTCAGCATCTGTGGAGAGAAATCAGAGTTAATGTTGCAGATCCAGTGAATGGTAAAATTGTTTTTAATGGTTATATAGGAAATTGCTCTATCAGTCCAGTTGAAGACTGATATCAGGGAGTCAGTGTGATCAGTATCTGACTTAGTCCGGACAATAATTTATTTTCATTAATGTAATTTTGTGCATGTGCGTGTGCTGCTCCACCTAGTAGCCACTATAGCAAACACAGTGTTTACAACATTTAATTCCTGCTCAATTGCATACGGCTTCCCATTACTATTACTATACTTACCAATTCCCTTGTAGGGTCCAATTTTCTGCACTTCTGGCTGGCTGCGTCAGGTATTGTGAACCACCTTGTAGCTAACTACCTGGCCTTTAAAAGACTATTCAAAGGGTACATCTTCATAAAAAGGGTATGTTTGACTTTAGACGACAGAAGTCTGTACACCCTATATAAAGCATTGCATCTAAACTAGTCTAAACCAACTGTAAACAGATTAGTCCAGTTCGATAGCATCTTGAAAATCATGTATTAATGGCTCCAGGAACCAATGCGAATGCACTGGGAACAGATACTTCAAATTACAAATAAAAACAGAAGTTGCTGGAGAAGCTCAGCAGGTCTGGCAGCATGTGAAGAGAAATCAGAGTTAATGGTCCGGTGGCCCTTCCTGAAGAAACGTGAACTCTGATTTCTCTTCACAGATGCTGTCAGACCTTCAGAGCTTTTCCAGCAACTTCTGTTTTGTGTTTCTGATTTACAGCATCCACTGTTCTTTTGGTTTCCACTCCAAAATACAATGCTGGCACATTCAGTTTTTAGGCTCACAAGTTGTTTAGCAGTGAAAGGTTTGCTGAATTTCTAGGCCAGTACATTTTTGAATGCATCATACAAAGGATGCACCCAAAACATACACAAGTCACCATGATATATTAGCTAATCCATTTGCAAAATCTCATCTTACTGCTCAAACATTACTCAATTCAGACCCAAATCAATGGAATTTATTGTTACCCTTAAGTTACCTTAACCTCCTAGCTACAACACCCCTTGGATTTGGCCAATAAGTTACAATCCTCAAATGGCTGATTCTTCTGGTGAGAACTATTGGTCCATGAAACATGTCAGCCATTCCTGACCTTCCTTCTGACAGCGGACCACTCCACACCAAGATCAGTGCAATTTGGCTGGAATACTTACAATGTTCAGACTGTCTGAGCCTGGCCCTTCTAATTGTAGTAGTCATTTTTGCCCTTTGTATTGACTTATATCAAACCTATCACAACCACATCAAATATTTCCCTGTTAATCAGGATGTCTGAGAGCTAATCTTCCATGGTGTATTTCACGCACAGTTCAGCCATATATGACCAGTTAAACCAAGCAGTCCTTTTCCATGAAAAAAAAGGGTGCAGAGAACATGATCATGTTATCAAAAACAGAAGGTGTTGGAGAACCTCAGCAAGTCTAGCAGCATCTGTGGAGAGAGCAACAGAACTGAAGAAGTGTCACTGGACTTGAAATGTTAACTGTTTTTATCTTCACAGGTGCTGCCAGATCTGCTGAATTCCTCCAGCATTTTCTTTTATGGTCTCAGACTTCCAGCATCTGCAGTTCATTGGTTAATTTTATATTATTATTGTCAGTTCAACCCTCATCCTTGCATTTGCTGCATTCTTCCGTCTCATTTCGGGTTTCCATAATGTGTGGTATTGTCCTGACCACAATGAAATACGTATTTGTTGTCAATACTTAAACCAGTCCAGAACCACAGGCCGAGAGAAATGCACATTTTGTTTTTTGTTGATGAGCTCCAGTTTGAAAACATCTGCACCACAAATGCTGAACTCAAAAATATACCTCAAAATGTGAAGCTATTCTTCCATCTCTGCATACAATGATTTTCTCAGCAGCTCAGGCAGTTAACCATGAAATGCACATAAGCCTGAGAGTGTACAGTCCAAGCTCCAGGTTCAACTCAGGATCAACGTTCCCTCTAAGTTGTGCATATGCAGCCACTCAATGTTCCACGCATGATAATCAGCGTTGATGTGCCAATCATGGCATTGACTCCCAGTTCCAGAAGTTGCTGCTGCGCAAGGGTCTCAGAGGGCCAGGCAGCTGGTAAGAAAATTAGAGGGAATGCGGTTCAGGATATGAATTGAGGTGAAACCAATCAGCAGGAGCTAGGCTGTAGTATTGAGACTGCTGACTTTGCATTAATTCAGGGAAATGTCGGCCTAGGTTTTCCACTTCTCAGCACACAGCAGGAAATCCTGTTTGCTTTTCAGTTTTTGGAAAATCATGGTCTGGTAGTACAGAGATTTTCCATTGATATCCCTAATGTGTTAGAGAAGTAGAAAATCCAGGCCATATTGTTGTGGACTCTTGAGCAACTGCATTGAGAATGCTCAATCTCATTTCAATTTCAACTTTCTCATTGTGTAAAGAGAGAAACCCTTTCATCCCATCAATTTATGCAGCCTTCAATAGTCTTATGCTGCTCAGTGCAATCCAGACTCGACCTTTCACGATGCTGTGGGTCTCTCATGTTTAGGTTTCAGCATTGAATATTGGTATATGACAGCACATTATCCCCAAATGGCCGTGAGTAATTCTTCATTGTCTTGCTCATTTCTTCTACACGGGTTTCCATTCCTTTGGAATACTTCTGGAAAGGGGAAAGAAAACCACCACATAGGAAACTTATTAACATATTATAACCTACATTCATTTTAAAGCTCAACTCCATTCCAAAGTTATGATCTTGAGAATATTTGTTTCATTTTACTTTTAGTAGTTTTACTTTGCCACCATGGAAGGGCAGCAGTTCTGCATGTTTCTACCTTCAATAATGGTTCTGTCTTACAGTCTCTATGGGGTTCGGTCAGCACAGCTGGCTAAACATGATGCAGAACGACACCAACAGCCTGGGTTTCATTCTGATACCAGCTGCAGTTGTTCATATAGACCTGCTGCCTGGCCTAATTGCACGCCTGATGCCATGTGGTGTCCCTCAAGCAAGATAATCAATTATTTCTCTCTTGTTACTACTGCCCACAGCCTGAGTGACAGGGACACACCTTTCATTCAAAGAAATAAAATGTAACTTACCTTGTACACAAGGTACGTGCATAGAATGGGAGGCAGGCACATTGCCATTAAGATGAATATCAGCATATTCCTGGTTATTCTTTCAAACTGGTTAGATTCACCTGTATTAAAACAAAAATCTGTCATTTGTGAGTCTGATGTCGCATATACATGTTTATACATACAAATGAGTTTTCTTCAATGGTACTGGTGAGTAATTGAGCTATATAGAGTCAGAGTTAGACAGCACACAAACAGACACTTTGGTCCAACTTGTCCACACCGACCAGGTATCCTAAAGTGATCGAGAGTCATTTGCCAGAATTTGGCCCATATTCCTCTAAACACTTCCCATTCATGTACCCATCCAGATGCCTTTTAAATGTTGTAATCATTCCAGCCTCTACCACTTTCTCTAGCAGCTTGTTCCAAACACGGATATCCTCTGTGTGAAAAAGTTGCCTCTTGGGTCTCTTTTAAATCTTTTCCCTCTCACCTTAAACCTATAACCTCTAGTTTTGGACTCCCCTACCTTGCAAAAAGGACTGTGGTTATTCACCTTATCCATGCCCCTCATGATTTTATAAACCTCTATAGGGTTACCCCTCAGCCTCTGGCAGCCCAAGGAAAATAGCCCCAGCCTGCTAAGCCTCTAGCTCAAACGCTCTAACCCTGGCAACATCCTTGTAAATTTTTTCTGAACCCTTTCAAGATTTTTTAAACCTCTATAAGGTCACCCCTCAGCCTCTGATGCTCCGGAGGAAAAGAGCCCCTCAGATTTCTTCACACCTTTTTCTCAATCTATACTGAGATACTGATCTCAGCTTGGAAACCATGTTTTTGAATGAATCTTGGACCCACGTTGTTCTAACTCAAAACACTACCAACTGAGCCACCAAATGGACATCAGGTGAGGGCAGGATTAGTTACCACTGCACCCATTTGTTGAAACACTTGATGGCATTTGCTGTTACATGTCACACATGAATAATAGCCAAACGGGTGAAGTACCATAGAATGGATAAAGGCCTGTCCCGTGGTGTCCATACTGACTTTCTGCAATTGCAACATAGTTTGATTAATTATCCAAAGCCACAAATGAACCTGTCTCAACCACACTCTCACCAACACTTTCAAATCTTAATCACTTACCAGGTTAAAGAAAAAGTTCTTCTTCACATTGCTATTGTTTCTTTGCCATTCACCTTAAACTGATGTCTTCGAATTCTTGGTCGTTCGGCCAAAGACAACAGGTTTATCCCTATCTACTCTGTCCAGACCCTTCATGATTCTGAACACGTCTAACAAATTGCCTTCTAAGGATCCCTTCTCTAAGAAGAACCACCCCAGTTTCCTCAAGGAGGCATTCGAAACAAGATGCTACAGGCACAGTGTCAAACCATATGATATAGAAGCAGAAGTAGGTCATTTAGCCCATCACGTCTGTTTCACCATTCAATGAGATCATGGCTGATTTTACAAACCTCAACTCTGCCTTCCTGCCTTTTCCTCATAACCCCCGATTCCCTTACTGATTAAAAGTCTATCTCAGCATTGAACAAACTTAACAGCCAAGCCTTACAGCACTCTGCAGTAAAGAATTCCGCAGATTCAATACTCTTTGAGAAAAGAAATTCCTCCTCATTTGTCTTAAATGTGCAACTCCTTACTTTAAGAATATGTCCTCTGGTCCTAGACTCTCCCACAAGGGAAGACAATCTCTCTGCACCTAAGAAGCTGTCAAGCTCCCAAAAAATCTTGAAGGTTTCAACAAGGTTCCCTCTCATTCTTCCAAACTCCAATGAGTACAGGCACAGCCTACTCGAACTCTACTCATAAGACAGACCATCCATATCTGGTATCAGCCTTGTGAACCTTCTCTGGACTGCCTCTAATGCCTGTACATCTTTCCTTAGATAAAGATCCAAACCATGCACAGTATTCACAATAGTTCACACTATTGGCCTGCAGTGTCATGTACAGTTTTAGATAATCCATTCCCTTTGAAATGAAGGTTAACCTTCCATTTGCTTTCCCTATTACCCACTGAAATTGAATGCTAACTTTTTATGATTCATATACAGGACCCCAAATCCCTCTGTTTTGTGGCTTTCTGCAGTCTCTCAATTTAAATAATATTCGGCTCCTCTATTCTTCCTGCCAAAGTGCATAACCTCAATTTCCCACATTACATACAACTGCCAAGTTTTGTCGACTCGTTTAACCTGACTGTATCCCTCTGCAGACTACATCATCCTCACCAGTCGTTTTTCTACGTATTTTTGTGTCAGCTGCAAACTTGGCCAGAGCAAATTCACTTTCCCTATCCAACTCATTAATATATACTAAAAATAATTGTATCCCCTGCACTGATCCCTATGGCACTTCACTAGTTACCAGTTGCAATCTTGAAAATGTCTCCCTTATCCCAACTCTGTCTTCTGTTAGTTAGCCAATCCTCAATGCATGATAATATACTGCCTCCTACACCATGGCCATTTTATTAAGTAGCCTAATGTGTGGTATGTTATTAAGTGCCTTATGAAAATCAAAACACATTACATCCACCACGTCCCTTTTATCTATCATGTCTGTTACCTCCTCAAAGAACTATAATAAATTTGTCAAGCATTAATTGCCCTTCATGGAGCCATGCTATGCTGCTTGATCATATTATATATTTCTAAATGCTCTGCAATTACATTCTTTATTATACACTAATGTCTTTCCAATAACAGACATTAAACTAACTGGTCTATAGTTACTTGTTTCTTTTATCTCCTTCCTTTTTTTAATGGAATGTGTTATATTGGCCACACTGGTGGATGGTGACCCCATGAAGAAAAAGAGTGGAGACAACAAGGTGCAGGGCTGGATGAACACAGCAGGCCAAGCAGCA